GTATTTACATCAGCTCCTTAATTGTTATAATTTATTTTGTTTGTCCTTTACTAAGGAGTGTATTACATAAATCTTTCAATATGAGNACAGTGATACTCAAACTCTTCGCTACAGTTATTTAAAGGTATTTACATCAACTCCTTAATTGTTATAATTTATTTTGTTTGTCCTTTACTAAGGAGTGTATTACATAAATCTTTCAATATGAGGTGCGATCTTGATACTTGCCAAATTAAAAGAGATTCTGAACGCTACTTATCGTGCTGACTGTGTGATGGTATTTACCATCTGAAATGTTCTGGTTTGACGGGAAAAATTCTGGACGCTATTAATGATGGAAAGGGCCTTCGCTGGTCTTGCTTAAAGTGCAGGTCAACCGAAGTTGATCTTTTCAAGCTATTTAGGTAAACCAGAAATGGTTTTACAGAAATAGGAAGAGAATTGTCGGTACTAACAGAAAAATTTAACCATTATGAAAATATGTTTAAATCATTCAAATGCTTAGATACCTTGCAATCTGTTAAGGATATCCGTGTGTCTAAACGTTAGCGTCTTCATAGTCCATCTAAGAAAATTGCTGCCGTTGCACGTCCGAATAATCTGCCGAAGGACTTAATTAATTTATCTTCTCCTNAAACGTAAGCGTCTTCATAGTCCATCTAAGGAAATTATTGCCGTTGCACGTCAGAATAATCTTCCGACTGACTTAATTAATCTATCTTCTCCATGTCCTCCAGCATCAGAGTCTTCAGCCTCAAAAGAGCGTGTAACGAAATCTGCTTCGGATAATAAAGAGCCTGAAGTATCTTCCTCTTCCCCCATTGAAGTGGTGGCATCATCTTCAAAGCCTCCACCACCTTCCCTATCTTCAACTACTAACGCAGTAACTCAACCCCCCTCAACACTGAATCAAAAAACTAATTATTAAATCTGCTTTAAGTATTTATTACCAAAATGTAAGAGGCTTAAATACTAAATTAACGAACTTATATTTTAAAGGCCTTGAATCTAATAATAATATTCTTGCTTTTACTGAAACTTGGCTGAAACCTCACATTTTCAATTCAGAGATTCTTCCAAATAATTATCATATCTATAGACAAGATAGGGAGGACAGAATCGGCGGTGGCGTACTCTTCGCTGTGGATTCTTCAATACCATCTGAAGAGGTTAGTCTTCCACACATTGATTCAGTAGAGTTCAAATGCATTCGTGTACAGGCTGGAAAAGGGTCTATTTACTTAGCTCTATGCTATATCACTCCCTGATCTGACACATTGGTGTATTCACGACTCATCTCTTTACTGAAATGAGTTAATTTACTGACTAAACCCCCTGATTCAATGATTGTGTTGGGTGATTTTAATTTACCAAGCATANCCCGTGCCTTCCTCAGGAGTGAATATAACTACAACAACAACGACTACTACAACAACAACCCAAAAAGGTTGGTTATTGTACACGGTGCAGCGAACAAAGGTGGCGCCGTCAGTGGTACCGCTACTTTGGTTTTGCCGATTTTGACAGTTGTGGTAACTTGTAAATAAACCTTTGTTTACAAATCAGCGAATGAGAAATTTGAATTATAAGGGAAAAATCAGTTTAAATCGTGTTAATTTGCGTAAAAACTAATACAATGAAGTGCTGTGTGTTAAATTGCGACAACCGTCAAGATGCAAGAAGCGTAGATGCAAATGTAGCGCTGAGACGAATCGCTGCATTTTGTGTACATAGGACACGGCAAAGCCGTTCCCGAAATGTTTCTCTATTATTATATTAACAGCATTTCCTCACAATGATTTTGTTTCTGCTCCACGCAGCCTCCATTAGCAAGTTAACTAACCAGTCCCGCAGAGATGCTGCTGCTGTTTTCTGCAGCAGCCTTAATTGCAAAGCAATGGAGTGCACTAAAACGTTTGCTGAAGCAGCCTCAATTGCAAAGCAATGGAGGGCACTACAATGTTCACTGTTCTCTAATAGATTAGGTGAAAAATGCAATATTTTCGCATTTAGCAAAATTAAAACACGTTTTTCGCAGTAAAGTGAACTGCTTTGGCTGTTTCAACTCGTTCTTCTTTTCGCTCTATTCTTTGTTTACTTGTGGTACACAAATGTCAACGCCCAGGACGGCGCAATCTTGTATTCTATCATTCTTGATACCTTTCGCGTCTAGTGCACGCAACAACGTATTTTTAGAGGAGATGGCTGAACTCTGCCTAACTCAGGTTAATGTACTTCACAATAAGTTTGGTAAAGTACTACATCTTGTTTATGTTGATGCTGCATCTAAGTCCGTTGTAAATAAGTGTGATCCACTAGTTTTGCCCGAAGATGTCTACCACCCTGCTATGGAGGTATCTTACGAAGTTATAAGTAATGGACAAAATTGCAGTACCCAAGCATACGAACCAAATATTTGCTTTGATTTTTCAAAAGCTAACTTTAAAACGTTTAACAATGAACTATCTAAATTGTCGTGGCCTGCATTTAAAGAAAATATTGAACAAAGCGTTGCACTTTTTAACTTTACTTTACATAAATTATTTGAAAAGCATGTGCCTAAACTCATGTATGTTCCCGAAGGGCAAACACAGTTATGGTTCACTAAAGTACTGAGAAATTTGAAAAACAGAAAGTCGCGTTATTTTGGATTACACAAAAAAACCGGTTTACACTCATACCATGTAAAATACTCACTTTTGCGTCATAAGTTTTTTGAACTAAACAAAAATTGTTATAAAGCTTACTTGTGTAAAATCAAACGGCGTATAATATATAACCCCAAATCATTTTATGACTTCGTAAACTCCAAACGAAATGTACGTGGGCTTCCTTCCGTCATGAAGTATAAAAAACACCGTCTCTAGTGATAATCAAACAATTTCTAACATGTTCGCTCAGTTCTTTAAATCCAATTATTCAATTAACTCACATGCTAACATTGACTATTCTTTTAAACTGTGTCCAATGAACTCAATAAATATCCCAGTAATATCTCCCGATGATGTAGTAGTTTATCTGAAATCCTTAAAGCAGTCCTTCAGTTATGGTCCTGACCAGATCCCTACTTGTATTCTTATAAATTGTTCTGATTATCTCTATGAGCCGTTAACAGCGTTATTTAATTTATCTCTTAAAGTGGGCGTTTTTCCAACTATATGGAAGGAATCGTTCATAACCCCGTTACATAAAAGCGGTAGCAGATCTTCTGTGGAGAACTACCGAGGAATAGCTAAGCTTTCTGCAATTCTTAAATTATTTGAAGCAATTATAACAAATCAGTTGACGCATTCTTCTAGCATTTCATATAGTCAACATGGATTTTGCAAGGGCAAATCAACTTCTACAAATTTACTTGAATTAACATCCTATATCTCAAAAGCATTTAGTGAAAGCAAAACTGTTGATGTTATATATACTGACTTCAGTAAAGCATTTGACAAAGTGTGCCACTCGTTGCTCATCTATAAACTTGATCTTCTTGGTCTTCCACCTAATTTTCTACGTTGGATCTCTTCATACCTCTATGATAGATCACAAAGGGTAATGTTTAAAAATACTATCTCTGACGTCATTGATGTTACTTCAGGAGTCCCTCAAGGTAGCCACCTAGGCCCGGTTCTGTTCTTGCTTTTTATAAACGATATTTCTACAGATATACAATTTTCCAAAATTTTAATGTATGCAGGTTATGTAAAGCTTTATAAATCGTACGCTTCAATTAAAGAAAGGTCTTTGCTACAATCAGACTTAGACAGCGTGGCTTACTGGTGTCAAGTAAATTTTATGCCTCTAGATATTAAGAAATGTAAAGTAATGAGCTTCGCTTGAAGAGCTGTTCATCCCTCTTCTTATACAGTAGGTAACCATTACCTGAAACAGGTATACAATTTTGTGGACCTTGGTATCACAATGGATCCTAAGCTTAATTTTAATCTTCATATTAATGGGACAGTCAACAAGGCTGAAGGTGTACTTGCATTTGTGAAACGATGGTCAAAAGAATTTTGTGACCCTTATATCACTAAAATCCTGTTTACAACATTAGTTAGGCCAGTTCTGGAATACGGTTCGGTGGTTTGAAATCCAAGCTATCAAATTTACTCAGACAAGATAGAATCAATTCAAAAACAATTCCTACTTTTTGCTTTAAGAAATTTCCGTTGGGATTCTCAATATAACCTTCCACCTTATACGAGCCGATTAAAACTTATTAATCTTCCTACCTTTCCAGCCGCAGGCAAATGCTTGGTACAATTTTTATAGTTAAATTACTAACAGGCTCAATTTCAAGTCCGCTTCTTCTTGGCGAAGTTAGCCTTAATGTTCCCTCCCGGGCAAAGGCAAAAATAAAAGCAAAAACAAAGATGCGTAAAGAGAAAGGCAAAAATGAAGGCCAAGGTAAATTTAAACACTTTACTTAAGTGAAGGGGAATATGTAGATGAAGAAAAGTATAAACACAAACGTGAAACCAAAGATAAATATAGAGAAAAAGGTGAGAATGAGGATACCGATAAAAGTAAAAATGAAGATAGAGGAAGAGAGATTAAAATAAAGGTAATTATAGAGAAAAGGATATAGAACGACACACAGAGACTCAATCTGGGAACTATTTTGGGATTTTAGAGATTTTCGGGATTCTCGGGACTTATGGATATAATAATCGATATTTTTATCGCTTCTGTTATCGATTTTGCCATCGATATCTTCGGAACCTGTCGATATGATAATCGAAATTTTTTATCGATTTTGTTATTGTTATAAACGTGGGTATGGTTGTTTGCTGACTGAAGGTCTTTATTGTTCGTACATCTATATTTAAATTTCTCTAACAGTGTCGCATTGATCGTACTTATGGTGCTTAACCCTAATACAATAGTTATGCAATACAGTGTCGTATTAAAGGTAGTCATATTGATAAACGCCCTATATAACAGCTCTCCCCTAACTATCATAAAAGTTAAGGTAGAAAATAGTTAAATTCAAAAGTTAAAGAAATTCAAAGCTCACTTATTCCTAAATTCATTATGGAATATTTGAGTCTCTCCGGTGGTTTTCGCTCTCTTTCCGATCGACGCAGAATGTTCTCTGTATCCTTAGCTATCGGCGAGTTCGTTTGAGAGTCTTTATCCCGAGCGACGTCAAGACGACTCTCTCTTCCAATACCAACGGGGGCGACTTCAGATGTTACTGTTGGTATTGATGGCTGCACCTCCACATTTGCAGGTGTATGGGATACCAGTTTTCCAACTTTTCGCATTTGGTCTACATGTCGTGTCCACGTGCGATTATCATCAAGTTGAACTCGATAATGAAGATCGCCTTTCGTCTCGGTTACTGTGCCGAAACGCCATTTTTCGTTTGCCATGTAGTCTCTCACAGCAACTCTATCTCCTCTCTGAAATGTTTTTGTTGGGGCAGCTCTCCTTTCCTGTGAGTTATTACCATCCGGCAATAGTAAGTCTAATCGATTCGGGATCTGATGTCCCAACATTAACATAGCCGGAGATTTCCCGGTAGCTGGGTGGATGGACCGTCGATAGGCTAGAAGGAATATTGTTAAGTCGTTTTCTATTGTGGATGATTGGGTTCTTATCGATTTCATTTTATTTTTTAAATTTTGAATAGATCTTTCGGCTTGGCCATTCGTGGCTGGATAATACGGTGCCCCCTGTTTATGTAAGATAAAATTTTCCTTTAGGAAACATTTGAACTCAGAAGAATTAAATTGAGATTCATGATCCGAAACTAAAATATTTGGGAGACCAAACGCGAAAATATTTGTTTGCATTTAAGTATTGTTGCCGTTGTTGTTATATGTGGTACAATATGTATTTCCGGCCATGAAAGGTCCAGCGAAATTAACATGCACCCTCGCGAAAACTTTGCGGGGTGGTACCCAACAGTGTACGGGCACCATTTGTGGATTAGGGCTTGGCACAATGAGCAATTCAGTACCATGTTTTCTATGTCCATGTCTAATTTTGGCCACCAGCAGTAGGCTCCAGCCAGAGCTTTCATATTGGAGCTACCGAAATGACCGGTGTGAAGTTCCATTAATACTTTTTTTCGAAGTTCTATCGGGATATAGACCCGTATTCCTCGTAGTAAGCAGTCACCTTGCAGCGAAAATTCTGTTTGTTCTATGCCAAACCTGTCCCTTGAGTTACAAACTCTTACATACCTCAAAGACTATTAAAACCTTAACTTCATTTTCTTCTTTCGTTGCCTTGCCTAAGTCCCGTTAGCGGTAAATTTTGAATAGCATTAAATTCAATAATGTCAACTTCCATGACGTTTTGTGTCATGCCTTGTGGTAACCGAGACAAGGCAGTAGTATAAATAGCTAGCAGCGCTGCTGCTCCGGTTCCAGAACCGCTATATGGTTTGCTGTTGCTCCGGTTCCAGAACCGCTATAAGGTTTGCTGGTGCTCCGCCGCAAGCTTTGCTGCTCCGCCAAAAGATGTCGCCGATCGTAATCCAAGTTCAGAATACAGATAAAAGCCGCAAGATGTCGCTGGTGACAAATCCCAGTCCAGAACCGGAACCGATCACAGGGTGTACCGCTGATGGAAATCCAAGAAATCCGATACAAGGTGGTTTATATGTCAAAAATTGGTAAAGTGTATTGGTATACATATATACATACGTATTCTCATACATACATCTATATGCAAACGTACATACGTACATATGTATATACATATATAGATGCTCCACCCCTAGAAATGTGTGTTAATAATGTTCACATAGTTAATTGCTAAGTATTTAATATATATGTGTATATGAATGGTAATTTAGTCTTAATATCTAAACCTCTTCTTTCATATTCATGTTGGTTTTGATGTTGCTCCATTATGTACTCCTCAATTTCCCCGCCACAAACGGTTAGAAATTTTCCATTGTCATCCTCTTCATCCCATTTTTTTTGTTAAAAAAAAAGCATGGGCTGCTCTGACTGGGATGCCCAAAACCTGTAACCGGGGACCCTCATCTTCATCTTCAATACATATATAAGGGTTTTTCATGTCTTCAAAGCACAACATCTCCAATTCGAAATCGAAGTTGTACTCTCCATGATGCTCGCTATTGAGGATTCGATTGATTCCAGGCATGATGTGTTTTATAAGTATCTTTAAACAAAGTAATAATTTCTAATGTACAGTATTAGCTTATTTATACATATTTCATAACTATATAAAAAGCATTGAGGTAAACTGTTGATAAAGAACATATTTAAATATACATATATTTTAGTAATCTATTTTATACTTCATAATATGATTCAATTAAAATGTATAAAAAATAATCTTGAACTCAATGTTGCTGTCAAAGAATATATTTTTTTTATTATCCTATTTATATTTTATTATATGATTCAAATCAAATGCTTATATTATAAATAGCCTTGATCTTGAATTCATCATCATTGTTTGCCTAATAAGTATAGTAAGGCCAAGTGGACGATAACGAATCCCTCATAAACATAAAAAATGCTTATAAAAGTATGTGTATATTTAAATGTTTTATTCATCTAGCATTATTCATTCATTCATATATTGCTGACTTAGTGAGAAAAGTTGTTAAGCATACTTCTTATGAAAACTTATATTTTGTTATAGAAAGCAGGAGATATTAATAATACATCGTTTCAAAAAAAGATTAGGATACTTGTTTTTCGCGTTTATATTCATTGAAAGACAAATTTATTAAATTCAAAAGAGTCACCGAATGTCTAACAAATTCAAAAATAATACGAAATCTTTTCATCTTTCACATATGAATGGAAAGGTCTGCTGATGTTGATGATGAGAACAAAAAAAAATTAATTTGAAACAAAAGAAAGTTTTATAATTACTTATTTATTTTTATTTATTATTAGATATTTAATGAAGAAATAAATTTTCTTAATATTATTACATTTTTTTCAGCACATATCATAGAATTTTCATGATATTTACAAGTATTTATATTTATATTTTTAATATATAAATTCTTTAAATTTGGACAATTTAAATCATCTAAATTATATAAAATAATATCGTATCCGAATAAACGTTGAATCCATCTGATTTTCTCCAATCCCTTAGCATAGAATATATAATTTTTTCTTTTCATTAATGAATGGATATATTCAATAACAGCCATTAAAGTCGAATCACCATCTTCCCATTTTAATCCATGATGATTATGATATAATCAGTTATTAGTTGTTTTATCCCGTATCGGCAACGNTAGCAATAAATTTTCTTTTAAAATAGAATCCCTGGACATCTCTAACCAACGTATATTCCTTTGACATTATATAGCTTAAACTTTTTTTTAAAGTCGTTTAAAAAATAGTCTTATGAGTTTCTATAAAGGTTTATAATATTTTTTTTTAGAATCTAATGAAATCCTATTTAAATAATTGAAAACATAAGTATATATTAGAGCCACCAATTTTATTAACTAATCGATTACACTCCGATGAATAATGAAAACCAAATATCAAATTAATCTTTTTATATACTATATTTACATTCTTTTTATATGTAATATTTATATAATAAATCCATCTCATTCTATTAAAAGTTAAGAAATTTCCATATTCATATCATGTTTATAACCTTTAATATCAATTAATGTGACGTCTGAGCGTAGTTTAGTATCATCTCCAGTAACAATTTCAATTTCACCGTTACTTAAAATTTTCTCGAATGCAACCTGACGATACTTAAAACAAGAAATATTCAGTTTGCGTTGAAGGAAATCACTATCATATATACAACGAATTCTTAGCATAATATTATCCTCATATCTCAATTATTCCTAAAAATTTTTTTTTCTCTTTTTATATTAGATCTTGTCTAAATGCTTCTATGGCTTCCTGTGTTGTGAATAACTTTTTCGGATTAGATTTAGGTGCTTCTGATGTCTTTTAATCCATTTTGATCACTTTGAGTCCATTTCATTAGTTTAAAGTTCAGTTTTATGTTTATAGTATCATTATTAGGTAGTTTTAGAGAAAATCTGTATTTTCAAATTCATTTTGACACAAATCAATAAAAAACCTCATATTAATGTTTTTATTTCAATTGTTTATTAATAAATTTGGGGTTTCCCGTACCACACGGGGTTTTAATTTAAAATATTGATGTCCATAATATACTATAAGATATTTGTTTTCCTGTCCAATAATATTCTACTTCAGGAAGAGGATTTGTAGGTATCTCGTCACAAAACACCTGTAGGTCACGCGATTCCACACCTTCAGTAGATATTCCTATAAACGTATATAAAATAAATAATATAAAAAAAACTTTTTAATATACAACGCTTT